CTTTTTTGGTTGACAATGATTTGGTCTATTTCTATGAAAAATGCCATGGAATTTTGATAGGGATTATACTGAATCTGTAGATTGCTTTGGGTAGTATGGACATTTTAACAATATTAACTCTTATAATCCAAGAGCACACAAAACCTTTCCATATTTGTGTCCAAAATATCACAAAACCAATGTAGTCTTCAATCATAGCTTTCCAATTATTGCACTTGTCTTTCTCAAATACTTTTTATTGCTTTTTAACTTTTGTTGTTCTCTTAATCAGAAAATTTGTTTCAAGCTCTCCCCAAGATGACAATAGGCTTAACTTACATTGAAGACCTTATATTTGGACCTGAGCCCAACTTTCACCTTTATTACTTAATATTCTCGAGCTAGAATTTCCTAGGTCACTAGAGAGCCACCATCTTCCTCCACCGGCACTGCCCAGTAGGACCTCTCTGCTCATTGTCCCTGTCTGCTCTGAAATTCAATTTCCAGTTTAATGTTCCTAAAAATCAACTCCACTCAAGTCACTTCCCTACTTTGGACCACATTTTTACACTCTATTGCTTAGTAATATAATTACTGACTCTCTTTGGCAACTCCATCTTGTTCACTCAGTAGTTCTGACTCATTCCTCTTTTTCCACATGATTGGTAGAACACTTCGCTCCTGTAAGGAAAGTTTCACTTTTTCTACTGTAACCTTCAAGGAACAAAGCAGACACACTCAGGGGTACATAGCATTTCCTAGTAGAATAGTTGTAACATATAATCAATACCTGTAGAGTGCTTACAATTTGCCAAGTACTTTTAAGCATTTTTAAATGTATGAATTCATTGAATCCACCTAACAGTCCTATGAACTAGACACGATTATTGTTCCGTTTTACAGATGAAGAGATGGAAACTCAGAAAGGGTAAGCAATTTTCCTGAGGTCGCATGGTTAATTAATGACAGAGCTAAAATTTAATCTCAGATAGCCTAGGTCTGCAGTCTATGCTGTTAAATCCTCTGGCATGCTGCCTCTCTCTTTGGATTCCTTCCACCTACCACCCCTTCCCCAAAGCTGCAGACTGGGAATTACTGAGCTCAGTCATTTTCATCAAGGTTCAAAAAGATCCCATTTTGTTTTTGAAAGGGGTTCAAATCAATGAAACTTCCAACGACTCTTACATTTCTGATCTTCTAGATCAGCTTTCTCAGATACCACTCATATTTTACTTATCATATATTATCTGGGCTCTCATCAAACTGTGTGATACATCAGTATATCACATCTCTCTAACTAGGTTGAAAAATATCCCAACAAACTCATAATGGAGACTGCAACTTGCTCTTCTGATTTCCCAATTTTGTTTACAGTCCCCCTAATCTAAGTTCAAAGTCACTTCTGTCTCATCTCTCTCTTGCCTAATCCATATTCATGTACAATTCACTTCTAAGTTTTGGTTCTTTATGAGTCCCTGATACCACTATTAATCTTCTCCACCTTTACTGTCTATTTGGTGAGAGTTGCCTCATCTATTCATTGGCCCAGGTTAAGCAAGCAATGTGTCAATAGTCGTGATATTGCTTGAGATTCTCACTACCCTCTCTCCAACTAGCACAGGAGTCTTATATGTGGTCTTCTGAACTCAAGTCTTTGACCCCAGGTATTCAATGGCTGTTTGATGTACCTAAAGAAGAGCCTCTGTCCTGCTTCTGCCCGTTACCCATCCCTGCCCAACACTGTCTGCTGAAACAAGAACTCACTCCTTGATTGGTATCAAAATGTCTACTTGTCACACCATTGACTTGTCCTTCTGGCCTCATTTCCTATCACTCCACTACTTACAATATGCCTTCTAAACAAACCAGACCAAAAGCTACTGCCATCACATGTTCGGTTTTTCCACCTCCATATTCTTTCTTGTGCAATTTATTTCATGAGAAGTGCTGTTCCTCAGCCTGCCCTTCATCTTTGTATTTAGACACATTCACATTACTTTTCTTGTTCTGTTCTCTCACTTTTTAGACTCTGAATAATTTGATGAATTTCTCATCTAGCCTTCTGTTTGGCTACCAGCATCATCATCTTTCCTAAATTTGAAAATGTCTGAAGCCAGAAAATGGGCCTTAAATGACTCAGTAATTTTTGCAACATCAGCCAATGCCTTGCGTATATTGGATATTAAATAAATATATATATTGGGTTAAAGTAACTGCTAATCCCAACTTGATTATATGTAGAAAATATGAATCCTTGTTCTAACGCAGTCTTACCCCTCATTTTGCAAATGGCATAAATCAGGGCCTAGGATGAGTTAAGAAAAAGCCTTCTAAGCTCTAGGCCATAGGAAGGCCATATTGTGATTAAGTAGCTTCTGGTATCTCCTTTAAACATCCCCAAATCTGGACTCACTATTTATCTGTATTTTCTATACATTTACCTTAGCAATCTGCCTCATTGTTTAGCACTAATACCTGACATCTCTGAAGGTCAGTTTACTTTCATGTAAAACCAGGATAATAATTTATAGGATGGTTACGGATATTAAAGGAAATATAGATCAAATGTGATAATATCTTATTTCTTAAAATTAAGTGTTGAATATAATATGTACTGAAAATGCATTTAGTTTCTTCCTCCTGTCATGGGTGACCAGGGCCCCCTTAACCGAAGGGGCCCGGGATCCACAGCTGGGGTTTCCTGCGGGAGTGGGCTGGGCACAGAGCAGAGGGCCCCTACAGTAGTCTGGGAAGTGATGTGTTCAGGGGGCAGCCACACTGAAACCATTGACCTTAGGGGAGTGTGGAGCCTCTCAGACAGACAGTTGCTCACTCTTTTGTTGAATAGAAAAGATTGATAAGTGTTAGCAGGATAAAAACTTTCCATGACCCAGAATTCTGCCTACGATAACCAAAGGGACTAAAATCTGATTCAGAAGGATCAGGCTCCTGACTGCATTTCACTGATCCTCAGTGATGTCTCTGTGATCCACATAAAATACTCCCCTGACTTTCCTCCCGTTCCACCGTCTCCCTGTTTGAAAACATGACCCCAGAATAAACTGTGCCTAGAACCTGAGCAGAACTGAGCCTGCAGGCGTTGAGTGAGGCTCCAGCTGGCTGCACGGAAAGACGGCAGAGTCTGGGAAGCAGGCAAGATCCGAAGAAAACTCCCCTGCCCGATTTATTCCCCTACACAGTCTCTAAAGCCGCCTTTGTCTTAGGAGAAGTGAAAAAAAATTGAGGGATAAGAAAACATTGAATCCACAGTGACGGAACGGTAAAGACACTGCCGCTGGTTTTCAGGGAGCATTATAGATTCAAATTTGCTTGAATGCAATCTTCTGTCCCTCTTCCTGTCTTATTACTCTCTGATTTTTTTCTTTCCCCGTATCTTTTTACCTTCTCCTTGCTGTGTAGCCTCCTTTGAACACTGTTCTAGTATCAAGGCTTTTAAATACATATTGTTAAATTTTCTTAACCCTTTGTTCTTAAACAAAGGAGGGAAGTTAGTCTCAATAAATGGCAGGCTGAATAAAGAAGCACTTTTTACAGAAATGAAGTTTTATTACTCCAGGGATAGACCCACATACTAAAAGCACTCTGGAGCGGCAGGGCTTAGGGAACAGAGGGCTGCCTTACCTTCCCCATAAGCGCATACTGCAGATCTACTGTTTGAAATAATATATGTGTTTGCTTTTTTCCCCTAAAGACCTTTACTCTTTAAGGAGACTACCATTTATTTCTTTACAGATTGCTTAGCAAAGACTTTTCTTATTTGAACATTGAGGATATTGAGATATAAATGCAAATCTTAGTTGTTTCAGTCCTAATGTTAATGAGGTCAAGACCCACACACTAAATCTTTCTATCTGCCAATGATCTCTATTGCGCGGCCATAAGTGTGTGAACCACCAGCTCAGGACGTGAGAAGCACTGGGGGAGAGGCGGGGGACGAGCCCATCCAGCGTGCCTCCGCATGTTGGGAGAAGGGCTCTGTGTTCATCAGCCATGCCTCCGTGGTTCGTAACTTCCTTTTCCTTTGTGAGCATCAGCTACCTTAGGATTTTAATGCTAATTTCTGCACTGTCATGGTTACTTTAATCATTTACTTATTGGATACTTCAACTTTCTGCTTACAGTGTAGTAGTGTCACTTACAATGAGGCGAGCATTTTCTGTTTTCAGTGGCACTGCTCATTGCGTATATCCTACTTGTTAAGGCTAATAATACAGCGTGAGCACATAGAATTGCATGTGAACTCTAAAGGAAAAATAATGATCCATTTCATGAGATGAGTGATTTTTACTAACTTCTCATTTCTACTCAAAGGGTGCTTTTTCCCCTTGATTAAAATGTATTTCTCAATTAAATTAAAATGCAAATATAGACAGTCTGTGTTTATGGTTATAAGAGTTATTTAAAGAAGGTTTTAATTTAACCTGCTGATAATATTTCTTATAGGAGCTGTTGGTTTTATTGTTGGGTTAGTACTGCCATGTTCCATTTTCAAGATTACTTACAGGTGCTATGAAAACGTAATCATACTTCCCAGGTTTTATCAGTTTTTGCCCTCTCCTTTCTAGGATGTTAAAATGGACTGCTTTCCTATGTACTTTGTATATTATGTCAGTGACGTAGAAATATCAGTACTAAAACTTTAGAACCCCTTGAAATTGAGTTATGAAAACTTTGCTATTTGTTTTAAATAAATATTTTATTGCACAGAATTGAATCACCTCTTAAAGTTAGGAAAACCATATTCTATAATTTATCATGAAATTAAAGGTCTGTAAAAGTACTTCAAGAAACTATTAGGTCCAACCTGTAAATTTATACTGGAGAGAGAAAATGTTTGTATTAGAAAAATGCATCTAATGCTATGGATTTCATTAGGATCCTTTTAGCATTTTTTATAAATACAGTATTTTATCACTTCTCAAACAATAATTTTAAAATTATTGATAAAAATAATTTCGAATACTTTATAGCTTGATCTTGTTCTTTTTTATTATTTTTAGAGATCTCAGTGAAAACCAAATTCAGGCAATTCCAAGGAAGGCTTTCCGTGGAGCAGTTGACATTAAAAATTTGTAAGTATTTTTTAAAATGTATACTGTCTTTTTAAAGCCATCCAATTTTAAAGTTAAATTTATGTTAACGAAAATATAATAAAAAGTGGTAAGAGCGCTGTGCACCTTTATGCTTGATTAGGAGAGCTTGTAACAGTCAGTTTTATACTGTTTTCATGAGCTGTCTTGAAGGAGTCTCATTTAGAAGGTGTCTTGAATCTGAACTTGTTATCAAATTCATTCTTCAAACCTTGTGATTAATCTTGTTAAATCAAAGGGATTGATTTGATTAAAAGGTAGTTTCAATGTATTTTCTCCCTTTCACTGTCAACTTATTTCAATAACTCCCTTTTTCAGTTGTTATTGGTATTTATTGGATATGCAGAATATAAACAATTTTTCCTGAAAGAGTAGATATAATTTTCTTGTTAAAGGTACCTGTAGCCTAGAGCTACAGCTTTTTAAAATAGCTTTTTGGATCACCATTTTCATTAAATGCCAACAATGTGAGAGTGAGAAAATTATTCCTTTCCTTTTGTGTGAATATTTTTCTTCAGGTGTTTATGAAAGAATATATGTATAATATTTTTCAAAAAAGAAAGAAGAAAAAGAAGACTTTCTGTATTTTTCCTTGATAAATCCTCAATCTGTAGCCTTGTGTAGAAGCGTTTGTTTCAGTGCCCATAGCTCTGGAAGTATGTATCAGACTTAAAATCTCATAATGATATTAAAATAGTCAGTATATATTTTTCATAAATTTTAAATATCATATTACCCTTTGAAAATGATGGGTTTAAAGCCTGTAAAAGCTAGGACATAAACTGTTTTCCTTATCCTTTACATTAGTTTGAAATGTAGGGGGAGAAAAGCTCCTGAGCGCTTAGATTAACTATCAGGAATTCAATATTTTTTAGCCAATAATAAACAGGGCAGGGAACTTATATTCAGAAATCAGCGTGGTAGGATCCAACATTATTTTTTCAGGACCAAAAGTGAGACAGATGTTTTTCCTCATCAAAGAGAACAGCTGTTTACAAAGCTACAGGTTTTGGTCTCTATGTCTTCTTTTCAATGAAAATGGTTTTTGTTTTAAATTTGTGCTTTCTAAAGGTACAAGTAAAGAGAAAAGACAGGCTTGTAGATATAACTGTGTAGAGCCATTAAAGTCTGGCCCTAGGTTATTATGAGTGTTTACCTGTTCAGAGGAATTTATGTGCTTTCTTTTTATCTTCTTTAGCTAGGGCTCAGGGAAGCCTTCAAGTAGATTCTGTGCTATAGAGTGTTCCAAACTGCCTCTGCACATCGTATTTGATCAGAACAATATAAAGATCCTATGTAGCACCTACTCAAGTTGCATATATATCACCATAAAAGGAGAGTGACGGCTACAGTTGACCACACTTTGGGAATGCACTTACAGTCTAACCATAGTATTATCTCTAAATCCTTAAAACAGGTGGCTTTTACTTCTTAGGAAAGATATTCAGGGAATTTAAGTCTATAAGTAATCCTTCTGCCAAATTTAAGGGTACATTTGGGAACGGGATACCAGTCATGGTGAGATTCTTCCTTATGCCCTCTTCATTTAACCTTAAAAAATGTGATTTTAAAAGTTCAGAGATAAAAAAAAAAAAAGTGAGATGCTAGCCAGTGTACTGAAAGGAATGCATTATTGACTTAGCAGGATTTTAAAAAATCTTCCCCAACCCCATGAATTATTTCATCCCCAAAGTTTAAGGCAGTTATTTTGTATACAGTGAGATGAGGCTGGGACTGGAATCTCAGAATCTTTCGCTATTCATTGGATTTGTAGCTATGATAAAATAGTAAACTTCACTGAGCCTTAGTTTTCACTTTTATAAAGTGAATATAATAATTGCTTGGGTTTGTTGTGGGTATTAGGGAAAGAATGTATGTAAAGGAATTTAGAACAGTAAAATGCTGTAAAACAGTGCTTTTCATTCTGCAGCTATTCACTAACCGACTGCTGGAAGTTAGCTTTGGAAAAGATAGGGCAAGAAGACAGAAAAGCAGGACATGAAGTATTTTGCAATATTAGGAATGGATACGGTAAACCCATGTCTATTCTGGGTCATTTAGACATGCAGCTACAAAATGGAAAAAGAAATTATATAAGAAAGAACTAAATGAATAACATAAGACCATGACATTAAATGCTCTAGGTATTGAGGAAAGAAAGAGATAAAACGGATTGCTTGAAGTTATCAGGGAATTCTGTAGGAAAGAGTTCCTCAAAGAAAGTATAAAGGAATCTTTGAAGAGGTTGCTTTGTATTGAGGAAGTAAGACTTTATTAAAGAAGCTGTACAAAAGTAGAATTCATTCCCACTATTTTACTTTCTTCCATGTAACAATGAGAGAGGCCATGTGAGCAACACTGAAATACCACAGTGCATTTTCAGGTTTATTTAACTTATTAGGATCATAGCTACAATCTTACAGAATTTTTCTGTGAAAAGGCATTTTTCTGTAATTCAAAAAAGGTTCATGCCCTGACTGGTGTGGCTTAGTGGATTGGGCACCATCCCGCAAACCAAAGGATGGCTGGCTGGGTTCCTGGTCAGGGCACATGCTGGGTTGCCGGCCAATCCCCGATCAGAGCACGTGCGAGAGGCAACCGATCGGCGTTTTTCTCACACATTGATGTTTCCCTCCCTCCCTTTCTTCCTCCCTTCCTCTCTTTCTAAAAATAAATAAAAGCTTTTAAAAAATAGTACAAACTACATGGTTCAGAAAATGTCCAATTTTACGGGTCTTTGTATAAAGTTTAGTTTTTTCATTAAAAGTTAAACATATATCTTGTGGAATATATTTAATTTGAGGGTAAATTTTAATTCATATTATTATTAAAATGGTAGCTACAAGCCACCAAATAATAACTCAATAGAAACCCACAAATATTAGCATAGTTAATATTATTAATGTTCAGTGTGGGAAGGAGAGGTACAGTGCTTTGTGCTAGTTGCCTTCCAGGGGATGCATTTACAATTCAGGCAGGGCTGCATGGTGCCATGAGGGCTAGTGTTCTCAGCTATCTAGCGAATAAAAGAGAAAAAAGGTGGCTAGACGGAAGGCATATGTGGTTGGGTTGCATCAAGACGATATTTGGTATAGCACTAAAAGCCAGCCCAATGGACTGTAACAGGTTTATTGGATTTACCACATTCAGACTTTACATAGAGTAAATTCCAATTATCAGAAGACTTTCACCGGAAGGACTAGCTTTAATTGTGTGGATTGGCTGAATGCGCTCACGGCAGCATCTTGACAATATGAAATGGATGCTGTGTAAACTTTGCAAATTAGCAGATCTTATTCCTCTCCCTTCCGGCAAGCCACACAAAAATTATGCCAGATAGATGGGCATTTATCTTGCTCTTAAACATCTCTAGGGAGGACTTCCTATAACTTTTTTGCTCCGATCTGTTAATTTCTTAACCAGATTAAAACGCTTTATATTTTGCTTTGTTACCTAATTTTATTTGGCTGCAATTGAAACCACTTTCTTATTCCTGACATTTTAGATAGTAAGATCTGAGAATAGCAAGATTATATTAAAATATCAACTAAATTATAGCGTTTATAATATTCACTGGCAGCACTTTTCCTAAGGATTTGCATCTGTGTTTTCAAACTACCCAATCAAGTATGAATTAAAGTATTGATACCATATCATTACCAACTGATGCCTCACCAAAATGATAATCAGTGTTTATACCACTTTTCTTTATAAACTTTGCATATATTTTATATATTTAACACTGATGCAGTAAAGCCTTTGCTGCATTCTGACCAAATCCTGAACGAAGACATGTTACATTGTGCCAGTGTTTTTTTAAAACAAGGATTTATGAAGTATTTCCATTTAATTGAATAATTTAAGAGAATATTCAAATTAAACCTTGCTTTATTGCAGAGACTTACAAACTTAATCTCTAAACATGTACTTTATGCATATAAAAATCCTTCAAAAGTCTCTTGTGTTTATAAGAAACCATTCCTAGTTATGGTTATCCCAGGATTTAAATAAAAAATATATAAATACATGAACTTAAAAATAAAGTAGATTGCAAGTTGTTATTCATATCACACAAGCAAATTCCAATATACTTTACCATTAGTTTCTTTAGTGAGCTCAAGATCAATACTTAAAATAATTAAATTTCAACAGCATTATTTTAGATATACTGTATAATATAAATCACACTTGCTTTTTTTCTCATTTCATTTTGCAGTACATCCTCAAAATGTCCTCCATGTTCCAGTCAAACTTTACCTTTTACTGTTCATAAATAAATACAATCCTTTCCATTTACATGCATTATCCCAAACCCATTAACCCTACATCTGTTATGAGCCTTACCATCCCTTTCCAGGAAAACTGCCTCTTGGTAAAAAGTAGGTTAGGGAAAATATTATACTTATCCTCTTTTTAGACATACATTAATTTATATACAAGGGCTAAAATTAAAGAGGATCTAGCTTTGTCCTCTTTGCCTAAGTCATGATGTCATTTGGGAAATAGGTATGTATGACCATGTCTTTTTAGGAAACATATCGCCCGATTTGGGTTGCAAAGATTATTGGTAATAAGAAGATTTAGCAAGCAGGAAACTTAATCTATATCTTGTTATTATGTATTTTCCATACAAATGCAAGACTTTACCTTTGTCACATAATTTAAGTCATAATTGCAAAATGTCTACTTTAATCAGGCTAGTTTTTATGTTTAGTTCTTAACATTTCTAGTCATACTTTCAACTTATTACATATTTACCCATAAAAATAAAATCCATTGATATCAAATCTAAGTTGTAACTTTTGGCGGCCCCAGCTCTTTTCTAGAGTGTTTTTAGAAAGATGAGGCTGAAGAGACTTAGAAGGGGAGGCTGGTGCCTCATTCAGAGGGCCTGCAATCCTTAGTGTTAGATTAAATGCCACAGGTCTTCATTGGGACATAGAACCTTCTGAACAAACCTGGAGAGATCGCGCTTCATTTCG